TAAGAAAGTATATGATAATAATAAATATAAAAGGTGGATAAATTAATTCGATCTATTTTAGAGACTCTTTATAAATTTATCACTAAAAAATAAAGGAAAATAATTTTATATTATATTATATTTATTTACAAAAAAAAATTAAAAGGGCACTATTCAAAACTTTCGCTTAGGACCCAAATTCTTATTGAACCAACCCTGGGTAAATCCTATTTTGTCATACAAATTCTCAATTTGTCCCCAAATGATTATTTTTTTCACATTGTTCTTTCAAAAAAATAAAAAAGTGGTAATGTGATCCATCGTCTTATTTTCGTTTGATCGTTTGTTTATTTTGTGATTTTTGATTGGTTGATTTGACACAAAATAGATAGACAACCAAACAAAAATAAGATGATAGACTATATTGTAACGTTTTTATTTTTTTGAGGGGACAATGTGAAAAAATTAATCATTCGTGTAGGCAAACTAGGCTACTTATTCCGATGTAGTAGCCTTTCAACTTTACTTGAACTAGCGTCTGTATTTACATAAATTGAATTCTCATCCATGCGGAGATTGTTGGAGATAATGGTTTTAGAACAATTATTTTGTGCAACTTTGGGTTTAAATAAAAGTAGAACCCACACTTTGAAATTAGTGAGTTCAAGTTTAAATGTATTCTCCTTTGGGAGAAAATTAACCTGGTATAGTTATTTGTTCAAAACTATTAAATGTTGTAAGAGAAATTATGTCTTAAAGTGATCCCCTTCAATGGATAGAAGGAACAAAGTTTAGTGAAGTGTACTGTATAAAGCATGTTCCACATTGGAAGAAGACCCAAACTTTGGTGAATTAATATATTCCTAGTTGACTTCGTAAATTGGACCCCAAGGGGTACCACATTTTTGTGAGTGAAATGAGTACCTAAACAACCTTGGTTATCATACATGCACTACCCGTCTCGCCACAAACACAACCTGGGCGAGCTTGAGCTTGGATAACTTTTTGGAGAAAATGTATTTGGTGTGGTATTGGTTGTGGGTTAAAACCAAACGGATCGCAATTTTTTTCTTTAAATTTAAATTTAAATATCCAAATGAATTTATAAATTTTTTATCCGTTAATTATTTGAATTTGATGCCGAAATTGTGTCTGTGTCTGCTCAATCTAAAAGTGTTTCCCTAATTCATTACTGTTCAGATTAAGGGTGCGTCTCTTCAATCCGAAAAAGTTCAATGAACAGTGGCGTGTCGTGCCTCTTCAATCAATCCGAACAGTCACCAAGAGTATAACACCCCAAAATTCATCCTAGAAGACATTACTATCTAGAAACCATCCCATTATGAGAGCAATTAATAATAACCATTAAATAATAAACCACTCATCTATCTGATAAAGAATAAATACTAAAGTCAATAAAATATTGTAATTTCTCTAACTTACAATTCAAAATCAAATTGTATCTAGCACCAGAAAAATTAAACTAGCTAAAACACTATTTCACAAAAATCCTTCAAACACTAAACCAAAAGTAAAAAAAACTCTATTCCTCTAAAACAAGGTCTATGTCTTGATCATCCAACGGCTTGTAATTAAACTTCTCATCCACGACGACATCATTTTCTATGTCCAAATCAATAAGTGTGTTATAGGGGCTGAGCAAAAGCCTGTAAAAAATCCCTCTCATATCCAAACAAAGTTTTAAAACAATGAAAATAAGACAAGTCTCTTTTGAAAAATAGCATATATTAATTTTTGAGAGTAAAATCATGACAGCTGTAATGATCTCAAGTGTACGAATTGCAGCAAATGAATGATAGGAATAAAAATGCAAGAAAGTAAAGCAATCAATAATTAACTCAGTAGCATCATCTCATATTCTCATGTATGTTGATTCATCCCCATTCTCATGTATATTGGTTGCTTCTCAAGAATCTACACAACAACTCTACCTTGTTCACTCATCACAACCACATAATCTCAATCATTTCCCGCATGAACAAATAACAAATCACTTTAGGAAGGGTGTATACCGTCTCCCATGGCATTGACGAATCCTTCTAAGAAAAGGTATATCATCCATCAGCCTCGAACTTACATAAACAATAGGGGTTGCTCTCATAAACAATAATCCATTACAATTGTTATGCAATCATTTCAACCCCACTGCGATAGACTAACTTCTAACACTCAACGACAGTTCTCGAAGGCAATTCAAATCCATCACATTCAAACCATACAAGAGATGAAACCACAATATTTTCAACAACCGCAATCTTAACCAATCACAATTTTCATTAACAATTCAAGTATCACAATTGTATAATTCTCAATATACTATAGTAATAAAGGAATTAAAATATGCAAAAGATCATATCAATAAAACCTTCTCAATTTCGATATCAAAATTCTAGGGTTTTTTCAAAAATCACAATTTCTTGGAACAAGAACAAGTATTATATGAAAATACAATCTAATCAAGAATAGAATTTAGAAATGAAGAATCCATATGAATTTCATAATAGGACATGTATCTTGGAAAAACTAGAGTTTTGAAAATTCAAGGACAATATTTCTTGGATACAGGACATTTATCCCGTTGAAAACCATATGTTATGCCAAAAAAAAATGAACAATCAATCAATCAAAATAAACCAAGAACAAAAGATTATTTAATATATAATAATCTAGAAGATTTAAAAGATACATAATTATACCCGAAGTCTTAATAAAAAAACTTGAGTAGAATCCCCTACCTAGAATTCGTATTTTGTGTATAAACTTAGCAAATTTGATTCGTTCCAACGAGAGAATCTCTCTTCAATCTTGTATTTCTCTTATTCTCTCTAGCTTTCTAAGGTTCTCTAGGGTTAAGAACTAATGAAATAGGGCTAAAGGAACATTCTTATGGTATTTATAAGGTGAAAACGTAGAAATACCCTAAAACTGAGCGGGGCCATTTTTAGCATAACGTCCGGATGGTACTTAGGCATCCCAACGGTATAAATTCACTGTTTTGGATGATAAATAATATTTTAGGGAAGGAAGGGGCATCCGCATGATACTTGGGGCGCTCGGATGGTGCCAAATTTATGTCCTAACTTTAGGAGTAGTTTTCACCTACTTAGAAGTCAATTCAGAAAATTTTCATGAAATACACTTTTGCATAATATGAAGTCTAGTTTATACTATCCAAAACTTAGCACGATCGGAGTTATGAGTAAAAAGTTATGGCTAAAATAATAAGATAGTGTAAAATTCCTTCCTACACAAATTCCTTCTAAAATGCATTTTTACTCTGGAATACTTTCTAACTTCTAATACACTCCATATTACCTCTCCCAAGTTTTCTCAACCTTTCAGATCCAGTGGAAACTTTATTTTTACATAAAATATTTAGAAATCTACCAAATCACTATTCTCAAACTTAAACACTTTCAAAACTAAATTTGACCCGAAAGTCAATTTGTCTAAAACTCAAATTTTATGATCAATCTTTTAACAATGATTCGATATTTCTACAATCCTTTTATTCATCCTAAGAAAAATATTAATATGATATTTTTCTTATTTTATTATAGTACGAGATCTTACAAAGAGTCTATAACTAGGCTGCCTTACAACCATTTTCAATACACTAAAATCGGACAATAATCATCTGTATACTATTGCTTCTCTCTCTCCCTTTCTTCATGATATTTTGTTTGGTTCAAGTATAAAAAAAAATTGTGTTCATTGGAGTTCTGAAATTAAAGCGTTGCTTCTTTAGAAACTAAAATCCGTTCTATATTGAGAGACAATTACTTATCAACCTTAAGTATCGATAATGCGCAAATTTGTCTTAAAAAAACTATTATTTCACAAGGCTCGAATTATTTTTGATTTTCTAGATTCTATTTATATTATTGTTCTTCTGTGTCATTGTGAGTGTGTCTTTGTCTTTATGTTCTATTTTTTTTATTACATTGTAAATAACGGTATCCTTAGTAGATTTAGAATTTACTAAAATAATTAATTCTTTACTCTGATTACATATATCTATACTACTTCTAAATGTACACATATTGAAAAAACTTCTGTTTCACTCTTTTACCCTCAAACAACTTTTAAATATCCAAAATACCATGCACTCGAATGACTATCATTATAAAATATATTTATTTATTGTTTGACCTTTAATATCTCTCGTTCTATTCTCACTACCCATCTATATCTATATCTATATTTATATTTATATCTATATCTATACTTCTTATAAATTTATATCTATATTATTACTTATAAAAATCTATATCTATATTATTACTTATAAAAAACTTATGTTTTCCTAATTAATTTTTTATACACTTAGTACACTTTTTAGATGGCAATAGATTAAATTTGAAGATATGAATAATAACAACATTAAATTAAAATTTTCACATTCTCTCTCAAACTGAAAGGTTTGAGAAAATCAATCAATGGAACTGAAAGGTTTCCAATCAATGGGTGATAAACACAAGTGGTTGGTTTCTTTGTGTTTCGTATTCTCTCTTCTTTCCCATATAACTAAGCACAAAAGGCCAAAGGACTCCTATATACTCCCCAATTATGTGAAATCTCTTTTCTTTCTCCACTTCACCAATCTTTCTCTTTGATTTGTTTTTTATCTTCTGAGTGTGATATATTGTGTGTCTAGGCATGTGGTTCCCATGTGTAAGCCTGATTATCATTTCCTTCATCTTCTAATTGGTGTTTTTGCATTTTGATAGAGAAGAACCCAACATCAAAGCTTGACAACAACGAAAAATTGACGATGAGGAATTTGATGTGAGGTATGTAAAAATTGGCATCTTATTAAATTAGTTGTTTAGTGTTGAGCTTGTTTGGATAAAAGTCAAGTAAATTAATGAATTTGGTGGATTTGATGAAGTTGAATTTTTCAATTGAGTAGCAAACATAACCATCAAACAATGGTTTGCTCACTTGCCGATAAAACAATGGGTGCTTTGTCTAATATTACTTCAAGCTCCACAACTTTCATGTACAAGGTTGTATTATCTATTGCATTATAAAACAAATCACTTACGGACAAATTTAATTCTTCTTCCCTACTCACAAGTCCATGCCTATATCGTACTATAGGCATCATACGTTTCGGTTACTAATGAATTTCTCCTTGCAAAACTTTGTTGAGGGCGGAGTGATTGCTCTTTTTTGAAAAGTAGTGCTGTTTTTAATTGGGTATCTTTTTATTGTTTAGTTCCTCAGATTCTATATTATCTGTCCTTTACATTATAGATTTTGGAATTTCTGGTTAATGAATAGGAATTTTAATGTCTAGATTGGTGGTAGGACAGTAGGAGTGAGTATAAACAATGGATTCTTCTTGTGCCAAAAATGAAGGCTGCAGTGCACCCACTGCAAGTCAACAAAGGTTTTAGTCATGGAGACCATGGTTTTGGGGGGATGAAGAACAAGGTGAGTCCGAAGAAAAAGGTGAGTCCAAAGAACAGGGCATTTAGCTTTCAGTTGTGGAGGAACTTGAGAAGTGAAAAAAGGCCTAGAAAAGTTAAATCAGGGGTTACCTTCTTTGTTCTGGCAAGGATTCAAGAATCCGTTAACTAAAATCAAGGAACTATTCATATAATATTGAATAAAAATAAGGAATGTCAATCCTTGATAATTTTGTCATCATCCAATTGTTCTCGAATGAGCCCATTCAACAATGTAAAATATCACAATGTGATAAAAGAATAAATTCAAAAAGATCCCCCAATTCCAATTAGGAATTCGTTGAGACCTTTAGGAACAGCCTTGGCAAGCTTGTTTGTGTTTAGGCTTTCAACATCATATACTAGTGCTAGTGCAGGTGAAAGTCTCAAAAAAGACTTAGCCATTTCCTAGCAACACAAGGCAGGCTAGAAAGGCGAGAGGGGCTATAGTAGCTACACGAAATCAAGTCATTCTTTCTAGAATACTTGCTGGCATGCGAGACGAGACTAGAACTAAGGCCAATGGCAAGAACTCCACCAACAAGAACCCTACCATCAACCAAAAGGCCATGAGCTTCAACTTTATAGAAGACATTTACAGAAGCTCCTGGTGAGTACATAACATATATTTATCAAGATTTTATATTATTCTTTATGACATACATTAGATTTCAAGAAGAGGGTGTGGATTCAATTCAAATCAAATATTACTATGTTTTGAATGTTGTTGAAACTGGTATGAATGTGTAATTTTCATGTGGGACTTTTGCTATTTATGTCTTTTATTGGTTTCAAACTTTTGAAGCACCAGTACTTGATCAGCCAAAGGTAGACCCAAAAACTGTAGCTTTGATCATTATGGGTGGAGGTGCTAGGACTTGCCTCTTTCCTATTATTGGAAAATGTTCAAAATCAGTCGTAAGAAAGACGCCCACATACTCTCCCCTTCTACAATTTTCACTGTTTAATTTGATTTTCAATCATTTTGATTGATTGCTGGGGGTTGGATTATTTGAAGTTAACTTTAGTTTAAGAGAATGGAGGAGCATTAAGCCCAAATGAATGGTTAACTCTGGTTGAATATCACCCCCCATGCTTGAAATTATACAACATAGGAAGATTTTATGTTGAAATTCTTTAAAATTCTACAATAAACATGATGATAAATTTCTAATGTTCTTTGTTCCAACAACACGCTGATTTGGTTTGGGTTGCAGGTTCCAAATGGAGGATGTTACAGGCAAATTGATGTACGTATGAGTAACTGCATCAATAGTGGCATAACAAAAGATTTGTTTCCTTATCCAATTCAACTTTTTCTCCCTCAACCGTCACCTTGCTTGCACATACAACTTTGGAATGGTGAGAGTTTTGGGGATGGATTTGTAGAGGTAAGATGAATCATTAAACCTGTAAACAGATATATCAGTCAGCAATACTAGAAATGCATAATTTGAAGTTGAACTTTATTTTGAGAATGTGGTTCTTTTGTCTAATTATAAGAAAATGCATGTTACGAAATGTTAGGGATATAATTTATGTTAATTATTTTACTATTTAGTGGAATTTTTTGATGGCTAAAAGCTAAAATTACTTGGGAACAAGTTTGGTTGCCACTTAAACACCTGAAGAAACAAGAAATATTCATGTTTATTTGGAGTCCCTCTAAACCTTTCTCAGTTTTTCACAGATGAGGCCATTGCAGGTGATGAAAATATGATAATGAGAAAATGAACCAAATTCTCCTAAGAAGCTAACAATTATCATGTTCCACGTCATTAAATATACTACATAATTTGTTTAGAGCATAGTTTTAAAACTCGACTCGAACATCAACGCGGGAGAAGGACCAGGTTAATAGATCATTGGTTCAATCGTTGGGTTACTGATCGAACCGGTTATATAATAATAAAATAAAAAATTATTATACATGATAATACATAGACTAAAAAATCAAAATAATTGTGAAAAATAGCATGCTTAATGTACATTGGATCAAATTAAAAAAACCCCAAAATCATCAAGCATGTATCCAATGCATTCAATTTTCCTAATATGCTGAATGTAGAGCAATTATTCCACAAATTATTTATGATTAAATCCTTAATCTTCTTCATTTTTTCCCAACAAACAATTTCTTGTCTTGACATTCGTAACAGTAAGTCAAAAGGAAAAACACAGATGCATTATGTATAATGTGAGTTCTAATTTTCTTCTCATTTTTAGATTCATAACAATACACCAAAAATTAGGCACAACATCATTCATTTTCAGTAATCATCTTTGTGATAATCTTTATATATTGGCAAACACAATAAAAAACTAAGAACGAAATTAAACAGAAAAATACAAGTAATTATCATTATTTTGTCTGTGTAAATTATAATTGGTCTATGAGTTTTGTAGAAAATTGAAACTTTGGATAGTCGTTGGTGGATGCCCCATTGTAAGTTACCAACCAAGTCTACTCTAAAAAGCACACACACATACATAAAGAAAGAGAGAGAGAGAGAGAGAGAGAGAAAGAAAGAGTGTGTGTGTGTGTGTGTATCTACTGGTTATTGACTTCTTGTTGTGTGATGTTGTGTTTCACTTGACTTGAGATAAGGAAACACAGAGAATAGGGTTGAAGCAAATCATCGATCAAAGTCTAGGTGAAGAGTCCTTTTGATTGAACTCTGAATGAAACAAATCGACTTTGAATGTTCGAGACTTCGAGTTCCACTTTGATCGAGTCGCAACGGAAAGGAAGAGAGAAAGAGAAGGGTTAAGCAAGTTGTCGCCCATCACCAAAGGCAACGTAGTTGGATCGGGGGATGGAAACATTTAGGCCAAAAAGCCCAAAAGGCCAAAACTCCCCTTTTTATACCCTTTTAATTAAACCGTCTCATTTATTCAAAACCGTCTGGTTTGAACGGTTTACTCATAAACCGCCCGGTTCAACGGGTTTCTTCTGACGTTGGTGCTCAAATGATCCAGTAAAGGGACCAGCCTGGTTTATGCTCAGGTTCATCGGGTCAAACCGCCGGGCTTGGCTGTCACGGATTTTAAAACACTGGTTTTGAGTGTTTCCAATCCAATTTATTGATTTCTCTAAAACTAGTAGGTGCACACGTGCGTTGCACGTGCATTATTTTGTTATATGATTTTTGTTTTCATTGATCCATGCTCCATAGGAAAAGTCAGAAAGTGAATAGTGAAAATATAATAATTGTATTAAAATTCAGCCCATAATTAATCTAAATTCAGTAAAATACCCTCCAAACCCGCTTCATATTAGATCCCTCCAATAGTACACCAATAAATGAGCCACACTATCTTTTTCGAAGTACAATTTGAATTTTAGTAAAAAATTCTATTTGACTAATTTGGACAATAATATTAGTCCCCTTTGATCAAATTGTTTGAATTCCTTCTAAATACAAATTTTGTATTCATATCAAATATGGTTATGGTCAGCAAACCATAAATCATTTTCCAATAGGAGTGCAAGCCATTGTTTCTAAAGCAAATGAACTATAAAAACTTCTATCCACGAACATAAATGACTTGTCTTTCACAAAACCTACATACTAATTATCACATTTAGTCGTTGATTTACATATTATTGTCCAATCATTCAGATTGCAGTGATAGACTTTTCAAAAAGCTTATCAGGTATCTAGGTGTGGGGGATAATATCTATGCATGCCTTGAACTAATGGATGTTCGATTTTTTTTTTCTGATATACCCTCAAATGGCATGATTATAAGGTTGGTACAAAAAGAGTAAACATAGGAAAATCTCTTTTAATACTTAAACATCTCCCATATTGATCCTTCTTGTTCAAGTATTTGGTGAGTGGGGGAGAAAAGGGCTGCCTATACAAGGAATTTGATCTTGATTCACTACAATAATCAAGTAACCACTTTAATATACTTGTTTTCATTAGCCAAGTCTTGCAATCTTGAAAAAAGGAAGCTTAAGAGGTGACTTCAGGAATTTTAGTTTATTTTTTACTACGTTAACCAAAGCCCCCCATCAACTCCATGTCTCCATCTAGAAAGGGTCTAGTAAAATGCCTCGTTCGACATGCTAGAGGTGAAGGTCATTGGCCTCCCTCCCTTAATGGCTTGATGTATGTTCCTTTAGCTATAGACATATACAATCTAATAATAGTATATTTCACATAGTGCAAGGAAGCTCATTAGGCTTTCATACGAAAAGATGATCAAATTTCCAGCACTTAAAAAACAATGAATAAACACAAATCCATTAGTAAAAGTTAAAATACTAAGCAAAAAGAAAGTTAATAAACACAAGTCCTCCTTTCTATCCAGGTTCTCAAAGAAATGCATTTGAATGCAGTCTTAGGAAATCCAAGTATCATGATTAAATAAAACAAGATGAAGCATCTTACAATACTTTCTCGGACACATCATTTGGTGAGAAAAGTGGCGACCCTAAAGTCATCAAATCCTCATGGTCCATGCCCATAAGAACATTCTTGCCTATAAAATGAGGATAAATAATAACATATCATTTGTCATGACCAATTCCAGATTCATTTTTTGAATTCCCGAAATTGTGAAAGATGAATGCCTAACCAAATTGCGGCTTCACATCAACATAGTATTTCTTCCTTTTTTGACAACATTAGCAAGAATATGCTAGTAATGCTCAAATGATTTTTTGAGGGAAGAATTGAAGGTAGTGAATGAAATAAGTTTGGGGGGGGGGGGTATTAAAGGCGGTGACCGAAATGGGTTTGGTGGCAATGGAATCCCAGGCCAAAAGTTGTTGCTGATGTTGGCAAGAATGGCATCGGTGGTGGTGGACTGAAAAAATCTTGTTGGAAAACCTTTTGATATTCCAGTAACCAGATCATGCTATTAGAGAGTCCTTACATAAGGACTTCTTAGTTAGTGGTGGTAAATATGGGAGTGTAGGAGGCAGTTGCAAATGAGGGAATTATTGATGGTAAACTCTCGTTTCACAAGGTCTAGGAAGAATATGAAGAATTGAAGTTTTAAAGTGTAATTGAATACTGAATTCAGATGAATATTTTCGGAACTCAAGGAGTCTGAACATTAAATTGTCTTTATAATTCATGAAGTTTAACCATTAAATTGTTTGTATTTGAAGGAGGACAA